CCAGTCAGCTGAACGGAAACCAATAAGGCTACCCTTAGTGGCCTCGCGTTGCCGCCATTGTCGACTGATGCGCGACTCATGCCAGTAAGTCTGAGAGTGGTCAAAAGGATACTGAGGAGTGTTGGTGAGGAAGGGAACAGGTTGGGGAAGGTCTTGTTGCTGGTTGGCGGCGAGAACTGACACTGGGAACCCTTGGGAGAAGAGGCGCCCGACTGATTCCAGCACGGATTTGACTGGGGATTCCATTCTCGAAAGGAGGGAGGAATATTTCCAGCCCTTCTTGTTGTCCACTGGGGTAAGAGTGTCACTGACTGGCCGCTTCAGAGCTGCGTGCGGTCCAACTTCGAGGTAATCGGTGATTGAGGCGAGTCCATCTGCCTCAGGGGCCGCCACAGCAATATACTGGAGCGCATCGCTGAATCGAACCTGCGACGTCAGGTTCTCTACCCAGTAGCTAGCCTCTGTGAACTGCGAGCGGGCCTCCTTCTGTCCAGTGACAGACGAAACAATCAAAATATCTCCACGGCGAGCGTCTCCCTCTTGCAAGTCACCTAGAGACTGGAGGTACTCATCGGCGATCGATTGCATAGCAGGAGAGTGATATGCCACGCCTGTCTTCAGCTTCTGGGCGAAGATGCTGGACTCATCCAGATACTCCTTCAGGATGTCAATGTCGGTTTCATCTCCGGAGAGAGTGACGTTGGTGGGACTGTTGACGCAAGCAATGTGCACGGTCGACTTGAGGGGAACCTTTGACAGATACTCCTCGACCTCATCTTCTTGAAGATTGGCCGACATCATTGCTCCAGGTGTTGCACTCAAGTTTGCAACAAGCTGGCCAGCGAGCCTGCCACGATGATATGCCACTTTACATGCCGATTCGAGAGACAGCGCGCCAGCACAGTATGCGGAAGCAATCTCTCCTGAGGAATGGCCCACGACGGCAGACGGGGTAATGTTGAAGGACTCAAGCAGCTCAATCAGCGCTATTTGAAGAGCCGTGCATAGCGGTTGGCTGTACTGAGGCTTGCTTATTTCGTCCTTGCTCTGAAGTTTGTCTACATTATATTGGTTAGAATGATAGTTTCTTAGTTAATTCGCACCATCGAATCGCGATGAAGCATGGAGATTGGGATGTTGACTTAAACTCACCGAAAAGCGACCACTCGGCTCCCAATTGAGTGAAGATACTGCTGATTTGTTCCAAAGTTGACTTGAAAACTGGGTACTGGATCAACTCAAGACCCATCTTGGCATACTGAGCACCCTGTCCCGTGAAGACGAAGGCCAAAGTGGACTGCCTGGATGATCGAGTCGAACTCGAAACGCTCTTCGAGATGGCTGCAGGACCGGTTTTGCTGTTAGTGACTGTGAAAGATTTCCAGCTCATTATGCTTCGCCTCTGGGAAAGAGTGTAAGCTAAGGCTTCTAGGTCTTGGTCGAGACCAGCAACTTCATAGTGCTTAGAGTATTGTTGAAGTACGCGCTTCAAGGCAGCTTCGTCTTTGGCACTCCATACCAGAAGCTTGAGGTCGGAAGGCGGGATATCAGGAGCAGTCGTGGCAGCATGCCCGTTCACAGCTTCATGGCCATTGCCATTAGTGGCTATCTCAGCTGCCTCAGCATGTCCATTCACAGCCTCATGACCATTTCCATTTTTGGCAGTCTCAGTCGTCTCAGCATGTCTATTTGTGGCTTCATGACCGTTGCCATTTGTGACTGCTTCGGCAGCGGGCTCGTCACCATTGACATGTCCATTGCCATTCGTGGCAGGTGAAGGGACATCGACTATGGTATGGTGATTTGCCTTTTGTCCTAAGCTTTCGAGAACATGGTAGGCATCATCCATGATTACATGGCCGTTTGAACCGCCAAACCCAAACGAGTTGATGCCAATGCGGCGCAGCCCCTTGCTGGGCCATGGGACAAGCGAGGTAGGGATCTGCACATGAGCATGGTTGGTTACTATCCATTTGAATATATAAGACTTGAGAGTAAGTGCGATAGAAAGTCATTGAACTTACCTTGATGTTGTACAATTTGGCGTTGATTTTGGGGTTCAGTTTCTCAAAGTTGGCGTTGGGAGGGATCAGTCCCTTTTCGAGCATCAGGATACCTTTAATGATTCCGGCCAAACCGCTGCCTCCTTCAAGATGGCCGACATTTGCTTTAATAGATCCCCTATATCACAATTAGACTATCATGAGCGCGGGAAAGGTATTTATAAGAAACATACACATAGAGTGGTTCTTCTGGAGATCGGCTATGTCGAAACACTCGACCAACTGCAGATGTCTCAATGGTATCTCCAATCTGAGTACCCGTACCTGAAAATACATGTTAGTTCAATGAAAAATTTTCACTTGAAATATTTGGTGCGTACCGTGAGCTTCGATGTAGCGTGTTTGGTCAAAACTCAGGCCATTGGTCTTGTACACCTTCCGGATCAGTGCCTCCTGGGAAGAAGCACTTGGCATCGTGATGCCAGGAGTGTGTCCATCTTGGTTTGTGTCTGTGCCCCGAATAACAGCGCGAATCGTGTCGCCGTCCCGGATAGCATCTGGTAATCTCTTCAAGAGAACTACGATGACACCCTCACCTCTAGCATAGCCGTTGGCTCGCTCATCGAAGCTGTAGCAGAGACTGTCTGGGGACAAGAAACCCATGTTATTCAAGAACATAGAGCACTCCGCATCGATCAGGATATTGGCTCCTGCAACCAGGGACTGCACAGGGGCAAGAAAAGTGCCAGGTCAATAAAGGTCCCTGCAGCTCCGACTTTTGGTGGGAACATTGTACTAACCATGGAGCATTGGTTGCTTCGCAGAGACTGGCATGCCAGATCGATGGCGATCATGCTGGTCGAACATGCGGTGTTGACCTGCATGCTAGGCCCCTTGAGATCGAAATACCAACTCAATCTGCTGGCCAAGAACGAGGCCGTGGTTCCGGTGGCCGTATTGACCGGGGCTGTGTCGGCATCCTTGGAGACAATATTCATAAAGTCTGTCCCCATGGAGGCCGCGAACACCGATGTCTCTGTGCCGGCGACTTTTTCAGCCGGGATTCCAGCTAAATACTCAGTCAGGACAGGGTCGATTCCAGTATTTCGACGTGATGAACTCACCATTTTCGAATGCTCGATATGATGCTTCCAATAGCCATCGCTGTTGAGGGTCCATTGAGGTGGCCTCCCTCGAGGACATGGCGAAAAAGGGCGCATCGAATGCTGTGAGGTCTCCATCGACGAAGTGTGCTCCCTTGTGGTGAAGCTATGCACGTCAAATTAGCAACAGTTTGATCGACTGATCTATGGAGTAGGTGGCGATCGCACCGTGTTCGGTCTTGACGATTCTGGATCGTAGAATGCATCAACATTCGTCCGCGATTTCGGCCAGGGGGTCATGACATTCCGGCCGTGCTCCAGCATATCCCACAAGGATGCGTCATCCTCAGCCGCTCCGGGGAGCTTGAATGAGTACCCGATGATGGCAATCGAGTCCATTTTTGCGTCTAAGTGGCGGTGTTATGCCTAGAGCGCGTCTTGGAAGGGAATGGTGATCACCGATTGTGAGTCAAATGGTTGAGTTCTAGAAAATGAAATGAGCGTCACTACTTGGATTTTCTAGTCACTCGCGACCACACTTCATCGCAAATGGCCTTGCTAGAAGACACTACACTACGGAGAAGACGGCAGTATATGTTATGTTCACGTGTCTTCACCAGAGGCGGTAAGATATCCAATCTGGTTGCAAGTTACTAACAACCGCTCGCGAGGGTAGCGTTAGGTTCCGTCACAGCCGCCGCAAGGTGCCATTATGGATCAGGTCATGCTATTAGCTACCGATCAAGGTGACCTCGATGGATCAACGGCACCCATTGGGATCAGAGCTAGTGAGTGGTGGGGAGGAAGTTGGATCCTAAACCTTGGACCGATATCTCTGCGCGGTATTACTATCTAGCGTATGTGCAGTCCATTCAATGGACAGGCCTGGAATTCACACGGACTTCCCTGGCAAAGCAAATGTTCTGCCACCGTTCAAAGGACTCGCAAATGTGACGCTGACACTATCATGCCGGCAATTTGCAAATCAGGAAGCTACTCTAGGATCGGTAATCGGAATTCTCCACGAGGAGGGGCGGAATATTGGCGCCATAGATGGGGGCGGAAGAGCATCTCTTAGGCGTGGCTATATTACTCGCGTATAATGTGAACCCCCCTGGGTACCCCTCTGCCACAATAGGCAGCTCGACCAAGCCTAATCGTCAGCTGTAAGGCTACTCGTTTAAACAACCAACCCATGTTAGAATCTTCAACCTGGTTATTCTCAAGTAAGTCGAGGATTGCGCCGGTCGTATCAAGTTTCGTACGCCCCCCATGTTGCAAAAGTGCCAGGGCAACTCCCCTGGATAATGCAGTCCCTGGAAATATTGGTCCTGCCGGAGATGCCAGGTTTCTGGCAATATCGACACGGCACCCAGAAGCCGTGAAAGCCACGAGGTTGCATAGACCTATGCCGTTTGAATAATTTGGAAATACTATGTGGTCAGATATATGTTGTATCGGCGGACTTTTAGCCATTCCTATTCTAGAGCCAATAAGTTGATACGAAAGCGAATCCTTCTCTGGGTAAGGCGAATTGGTACCGGAGTCTGACTTGGATTAGTCTGGAGCGCTCTATCGGGCCTTGGTTGGGTACACAACCTGGCACAGAGGATTTGATGGGTTGCAACGAACGGATTGCGTGGTGCCGTAGTATCTTGAGGACATTTTTTCACGTGTCCTGACTAACGAACTGGTCCACTGCTCCGTTTCAGGAGGTGTGGGAACACAGAAACGATTCCCAGCATCTGGAGCCCGTTTCTGTATCCTGAAGTTCATTGGCATCAATTTGATGGATTTCTGCCCTTCTTCAACAGGCTCAAATTACCCTATATTCACTTGGTCGGAAGAAATCAGAGCCTACAAAGAGTGAAAGCTGTTTCCAAGGCAATCCATCATGATTCTCGACACAAAGCAAGAGCATCTCTCGGCGAGCGGGACACTGGCGGCTCGGCTCAACGGGCATAAAGTTCACCGCTCACCTGCAACCACCTCTTCAACTTTTTACAAGAATCTGGAGGAGGCTTTGGACGTCCGCCGCAAATCCAACTCGCTCTACTCAATCGTCCCTGTAGATGGGACGGAAAAGCTCATTGACTTTTGCTCCAATGACTTACTTTCACTGAGCACCAGTGGTGCCTTATCCAAAGAGTACCTCGCAGAGCTGGCCCGGCATCCTGGCTTTGACACGAATTCAGGTGGCTCCCGCATGGTTGATGGCAACTATCTGTATCTCGAGCAGACGGAGAAGGCCATTGCCAACTTCCATGGCTACGAGGCCGGTGTTATGCTAGGCTCTGGCTTCGATGCCAACGTCGCCATCTGGACAGCCATCCCCCGCCCAGGCGATGTCATGCTCTACGACGAAGCTTCGCACGCCAGCACGCTCGATGGCATGAAGCAGAGCCTTACAAAGCACAGGGTAGAGTTCCAGCATAATGATCTTGAGTCGTTCCGCACCACACTCACCTCCATCTTTGCGAGCCACCCCCTCGTTCGCCAAGGGAAGCGAACTGTTATTGTATCGGTCGAGGCCACCTACAGCATGGACGGGGACATATGTCCTTTGCGGGAGATGATTGATATCGCAAGCGAAATATCCCGGAATCGTGGGAACGTCCAGTTCGTGGTCGACGAGGCATACGGTACGGGTACAATTGGACCCGAAGGTAAAGGATTCGTTTGCGAGTTAGGTCTAGAGAAGGAAGTTGCTGTTGTCATGCACTCCTTTGCAAAAGGCCTCGGATGCCATGGCGGTAAGTTCAATCTGTGTTTATTTAGCCTTCCCCTTTTGCACTCGGTGCCGAGGAGAATGAATTGTTAGCTGACGCAGAGGCATTCTAGCTATCGTGGTTGGAAATGCCACAATCAGGAGCATCATTGCCAACTTTGCCAGGTCATTCCAATTCACCACGGCGCCTCCCTTTGCGCACGTTGCCATGATCAAGGCCGGGTATAACCTACTCACCACTGAACCGGGCCGTGAAGCCCGCCGAAATGTCCAGTCCTTGGTCGGACTATTTTATGACAGGATGACGTCGCATCCGTTGTGGGAAGAGGCCAAGAGGAGAGGCATCTTGTCGATCCCCCTCGCCGAAGGGTGGGAGGAGCGGCCATTCCTTACCCACGTGGTAATCGTCCAGACGCTGCAGAAGTACACCTACTGGCTCTACTTCAACATCCTGTTTGCCGGCTGTAACGTCATGCCGGTGTCGCATCCCGTCGTGCCCGTGGGCCAGAGCAGGCTCAAGATCACCATCCACGGCGGCAACACGCAGGAGGAAGTGGAAATATTACTAGAGTCTATCTACAGCTGGGTCGAGGAAATATTTGCCCTGGAGAGCAGCAGCAAGAAGGGCCAGGCCACGGCTGCTGCTGAAAAGGTCTATGAATGGATGCGAGCACAGCACTTGTCTGGTTTTGGCATGATTTGAACGGATATCCAGCCCGAGACTGGCTCTGATTGGTGTGTGTACGAAATGTCAGGGGGGCGAGCTGGTCAGGGTCGTTTCAGCCCCATGTTTTTCTAGATTTAAATCGGGGCTTTCGTGTTTAATCGGGACTTTAGAGTCTAGTCTTGACAATGAAGGTGAAATTCTGTCAACTCAGCTCTGCCCTCGATATGTCTTAGATAGGGCTGAGGCTGAATCTTGGGGCGAGGAAGAGAGATCCCAACTTGCGTCGGGATTGCACCGAGGAAGGGCGGTGCGTGCTGTGCGTGCCGCCCCATGTTTTCGATTGATGATTCCATCAGAACCCAAACTGCCATATTAGTGGTGCATTCTTATGTAGTAATCGGCAGGGATAGAGGCACACCGTTGCGAAACTAATAAGCCTCCACCAACCACCCCCTTTACAAAATATGCTTGACAATTAAGTGCAATAAGCTCTGATTAGCGTGACATCCCACAACGAAAGATCAAAGTTTGTTCTAACCACCGAGAACATCCTCCTTTGAGCCCGCGATATGTCGCATTTGGGGCACCCCTGGTTGGCAACGTGCGGCGGGCGTCAGAAAACCAATTGGCGTAACTGCGGGCAGTCAGGGATGGCAGCTTACCGTCAGGTGGGTTCTGCATACCTTGTAATTCTGACTTATTTGCTGGCGATACCTGCGTCAAGTCTGAGTGAGAGTGTGTGTGGGGTCGCGAAGACGATATTCCTTATGCTGGAATCATGGACCGACACGGGCCTGGCAATAGCATGATGCGCACGGCATCAATCGATAGGCCGAGCATTCTCTCATTTGGGTCCAGATCCTACCCTCATACCACGTGTGTCCATTCGGGATCCCTTGAAGCGGCAAAAGTCACCGAGCTTACTTGAATCAGACGCGATGACAGGGATCGGGCGGTAGAAGTCTCATCTCCAGGCCGAGACGACACACCCACAAAAGTGGACACCGGATCCTAGGCGCGGTGTGTATTGAAGAGTTCCCTCCCATCTAGGTAGGTAGACGTTGAGTTTCCGCGTTGGCAATATGCCGAGCAGACTCGGAACTTTAGGTCAAGACGACAAGTCCCTCTCCCCCACCGTCACCAACCAGCTATGCTACATCGTGGCCGTCCTGTCCCTTGACTCGCACCACTTGCGTGTGTTCGTCTCACAGGGGTTGTCCAACAGCCAGCATGAAATCGTGTGATGCCGAAGGAACAGAAGAAGAGCACCCAACGGTGACTGTGCCAGGGTGAGAACCGATCCATCTCCAATCAACTGTCTTCATGCAAGCGCGGACTCCTTCTGCAGCAGACTAATGGCTCACAAATGGTATTACAGTAATCCTTCCTTGCAGCTTCCCAAGGTGGACTGCGACGGTGGCGATGGGCACCTATCAATCAGCTCACTTTCTCCCCTTTCCCGCAGAAACATCCCCTGGTCAATGTGACGTTGGAATTCGTTTTGTCGCCGCGGAACCGAAATCAGTAAATCAAAAATGCAATTTCCAGGCGACCCCGAACAAAACCCCGCTACCTACCTCCAGTCACTCCTCTACACAGAGGCGAGAATTGCCCGAGGTCCTATCTTAGCCCGGACACTGAGCTAGAGTCCTCACTTCGCTCCTCAGTGAATCGACAATATGTCGGGACCAGAGAAGGCTCCCCAGACGACGGTCGAGCCTGTCATGGCCGATTCCGTTCAGCCTGAAGAAGCATTGCAAGATACGCCAACCCAGAAAAACGCCTCTGAGAAAAGTGGCGATTTGTTGGAAACTACGATGGAGACCTCCGCGGAGGAAGACCTGCCCCCGAAGGGCAAGACTCTGGGGTTCCAGATGTCCGTTCTTGCTCTGGTCATTATGGCCTTCATTGTGTCCCTTGACGGCACCATCCTTGCCGTCGCCATTCCCGTACGTGACCCCTCCGGACTATGGACAATCGTGCATGGCCTCGCTATCTCATACATTCAATGATTTCTGATTTTCTTTCTACTTAGACCATAGTGCATACCCTGCATGGAACCACCCTTGAGGCTTTTTGGGCGAGCATCTCGTTTGTGCTCGCTGTGGTCATCACCCAGCCCCTGTACACTAATGTCTCCAATGTGCTTGGGCGGACGATCCCCCTTCACATTTCCTTCGTCCTGTTCATGGCAGGCTCCATCATATTTGCACTTGCCCAGTCTATGGCTGTGTTGATTGCTGGGCGTGTGGTTCAGGGTCTTGGAGCAGGAGGGCTAGATGTCTTCAACGAGATCATTCTCGCAGACATCACCACCCTAAAGGAGAGGCCCAAGTATCTTGGTCTTATGGCAATACCAGTTGCTGCAGGATCCATCATCGGCCCCATCATCGGTGGACTACTGGCCGACAATGGGTCGTGGCGTTGGATCGGATGGATCAACCTGCCAGTGTGCGTGCTCAACATCCTGCTGGTCGTCTTCTTCCTCAAGCTGCAGCCGCTCCAAGACTCTCTAAGCAAGAAATTCTCGCAGCTGGACCTCATCGGCTTGGGCCTATTCACCGTCGGTTGCACACTGACGGCCACGCCGATTGCATGGGCTGGCGCCATGTACCCGTGGTCATCGTGGCGAACGTTGGTACCTTTGCTCCTCGGCGTCGTGGTACTCGTCGTCTTTTGGTGGTACGAGTCTAAGCCCGAGGAGCCTGTGTTCCCGCGCAGTGTGTTCGCCACGCTGACTGCATGTTTCACGCTGATCACCACCTTCATTCACGGGATACTGGTCTACAGCACGATTTTCTATGCGCCCCTTTTTTTCCAATCCGTCTTCCTCCAGTCCGCCATAAAATCCGCCATCACTATGCTGCCACTTGCCTGTACGTCTGTCGTATTTGGTGTTCTAGGTGCCGTCGTCGTCGAGGTCACTCGCAAGTATCGGTTAATCATTTTGGCTAGTTGGATTTTCAGTGCCGTAGGCTGTGGAATTATTACCCTCTGGGATGAGAACGCATCTCTAGGATGGCAGGTCGGTTTCCAGATTGTTCTGGGAATCGGAACCGGGAGCTTATTCTCGATTCTCAATCTGCCTCTCCAGGCTAGCTTATCCAACCCAGACGATATGGGTGTGGCCGCAGGCGTGCTGGTGGCTTTCAGACTCTTTGGTGCCCTTTTGGGTCTCTCCATCTGTTCCACCGTCTTCAACAGTGTGTTTGCAGTTCGGATGGGAAAGTTGGGCCCATTGCCGGACGATCTGCAAATCTTGCATGATGCACGAGAAGCCGTGGGGTTCATTCCTCTGCTGAAAGACGTAACCGTGGACCCTGAGATACTGAATGAGGTGATTCATGCATACATGGTCTCCCTATATGCCGTGTTCTGGATGCTCGCCGGCGTATCTGTCGTTGGCTTCATTTTATCTTTCTTGATCAAAGAGAAGTCAATTGAGATAGCAGAACTCGGCAGACAGCAATACGATGGGAAGGAAACTAATGCAGCATCAAATGAGAGTAAGTAGATTTAGTTCTTTTGGACAAGTAAACTGGAATACCACCTGGGGCTACTCCTAGGATATGGGGAAACCGAAGGAGATGCGAGCCAGAGACATGCTCTGCTGCAGTTACAACTGCATGCGGTCTGCAATGCCCGCTCTGTGTCAAAACCCAAGAATAGATCATACATTTCCCCACTCATGACTATGAGTCGGTCTTCATATCTTGCGAGTACCTGCTTTTACCCACGTAGAGTTCCACCTGTAGTCAGCCCAACTAGCCGTAAGCTGAGCAAATGCCTCAAGTCCACACTGGAAGAGCTATCTAATGGCATGAGCAGGATTTAGACAAACAGGATTCGTATCAAGAATCGAGTGGGACAAGGGATTCTAATCACATGCCGAAAGCAGGACGCTCGCCGTGAATGGAGGATAAGCCCACCCCCTGTTCCAGACGAACCCTGCCTTCTCTGTTCTGGAGCTTGAATGACTAAATGGACCATAAAGTGGCCAAGAGGCAGTGCTGCCAAGCCTTATGACTCCACGCCCACCAGCGAATAGAGACTCATCTATCTAGCACCGTGATCATTGTGGGACGAGTCCTCCCAGGGCTAGATGCTTATTCCTGTACACATATTGATCCTTGGTTCCTTGGTCCACGATTCCTTTGATGCTACCCAAAGCGTCGTATTACTTGCTAAGATCAGGTCTGATGGGGCGGCATCTGACTATCTTGCGACACCTCCTGCTTCTCTAGTTGCCGTGATACCCCTACCCACCCCTCATGCCAACTGCCCACTATATGGACGATGGACAATAGATGCCACGGCCTACGGTGGTATCTGGATGTGCGGCACCCCAACCCCCGCTATATTGAAAATGTGCCACACGAGGTAACACCCGCGATGTCGCAATAGGATCCAGTACCTGCAGCCGCGCGACCTCTCGTGGGATACATTTGATCGACGGTGCCCGAATCCAACCTTCCGCCTCGCTCTACGTCAACGTCTTGCGCTCTCTCTTGTTTTTTTGCGTGTCCAACTCAAGCTTTACGCAAAGACGTCCGAGGAACCCAGACCGCCAAGATGAATGCCTCCCAGCTGGCGATGCCCGCGGCCAAACCGCCGCCCGGCATGATGCCCAACTTCGTCAATCCCCCAAACCACAATGCGGCCTCTGTCGCATTGATCATTGTCTGCCTCACGTTGGCAACTTTCTTCTACATGATCAGGGTTTACTCCAAGGTCATCATCCCGAGAAAGTTAACAGTCGAAGATGGTGAGGATCAGCCCGCCGCCCTGTCCATTACCCCTCAGCTAACATCTTCCCCGCAGGACTTGCCTTCGTCGCATTCGTATGTAGACATCTAAATCTAAGATCTGACTCGCCAGATTCGCGCGATCGAAGGACAAGACACTGACTCTTCGAACAGGGCTGTTATATAGGCATGATATGGACTGGCTTTTCGCTATGGAAGACGATTGGCTTCTTCGTGGACCAGTACAATGTCAGATTGAGCCAGCTCTTCGATACGCTCTACGTAAGTCCA